GCAAAACTTGTTCTTATACCAACTATCACGGGCTCCGATCTTAAACCAAAATTCGTGTGACCTTAGACTTGGAATGAACTCTATATGCCTAAATCAGCCTACGAAACAAGCGTGCAAGCACTAAACCAATACTGAAAGGCAAAATATGCAAGCTAAAAAAATAAAGGAATGTTGGAATGCATTGTATATTACTTAGTGGTGAATGTATACAAATGAAGGAGAAGTAATCTTCTATTTATAGTTGAGGCCCCAGCTCTAGTAATTTCTAATATCAAGGGATTACAATTTCAAATTTAAATTCAAACACATATTACACAGATTACATACTGATTCAGAGGATTGATCAAGTCTTTTTTTTGTGTGCTGCAGATCCTGGAGACTTCTAAATGATTCTGGTTCAGCCTCACTCCCCTGAGCCCACTTGGATGCGGTGTGCGCATATTGTGGGCCTCGTCCCAGTGCTACGGGCAAGCCTGACTGACGGGTGGGCAATCTAAACACTTTTACCATGATTATTGCTTGAACCCCCACCTTGTGTCTAGTGCTCGAGCCTTGCCACTAGTGCGCGGGCCTCAGCTCTTGATGCACCCGCCCAAGGCGTGACATAGGCACCTGGGCTTTCCTTCGCTGACTTTCAACGGCAATAACGAGTAACAAAACTTAAAACAGACAACCGCCTAGCTACCAAGGTCTTTTGTCTTAACTCTAACAGGAGGTCAGCATCTAATTTAGTCTAACTACTTCCAAAATGCAAAACAGGTGCGTAGAGTGAAGAAACTGAAACCACAACTCACCAATAGTAATAAATTTTTAATGGTAATTCGGTTAAATTCTTCATGTTTTACATTATAAATTAAGTCTCTCGATGTGGACTGTGGATTAAAGAAATCTTCTGGGATTTTAAAATTCTGAAAAATCCTAATGATATCTTCCTGAAATCCAAAACTTCATTGAAATTACTAAATCATTTCATTAATCCAGGATCTCTGGAAACAATGCATTAATTGTAAAATTTTTTTTGATAATTTTTAATTATCATTTTAATTAGTGCCTAACATTTTCCAATTATTAAAACACATAGGCTATAAATAAATATATTAATTTTATTAATTGTACTATATATACATATATATACCCCTCAACTGATTGGGAATGGTGAAAAAACTTCTCAAAAGAGTTTTATTTTGGAAAGACCAATAATCCCGAAGATACATATATATCCCAGGCTATGGATCGAGTTGTCAATAACTTGGGATCAGGATTTGAGAATATTGAATAAACAAATTATGAAAAAAACAAGAAAAACTTTGAAATATGTACAAAAAGTCAAAACACGTTTTGGATCACCATGACAAAGATTGTTAGCAAAATTAAGTGGCTCCTAAATTATATGCAAAAACATCCTAAGTGTAGACAAAAAAAAGAAAAAGTACATTCATTACAGAATGTAAATATATTAGTGTTTTAATCTATTGTTTTGGTGAATAATATATACTGCTGCTTTGATCTCAAACAACCAATCATATGAAATGAGGTTGACCACAGGCTGCTTGCAGTTTAGGGCAAGAAAAGTTTGGACAGCAACTTCTTTCTTTCTTTAAGACGCCAAGCCAAACCAAACCAATGAGTTCTTTAATTACCATTTCCCATGCTAAGACCCGAGCCCAAACAGGAAATAATATGAAAGCGAATATGTCAGCCTCAGGGCCAAGACTTTGTCAAGTTTAGTGTTTTGCTACCCAACCTTAAGTACTCATCAAAATATTTTTTCTCCTAAACTCCAAGAACTTGTCTCACTTCCTCCTCCAGCTTTCTATTCCAGTCATTATTTCCCTCTATTTTCCTAGCAAATCCTTGTTTTCGCTTTTGTTGTGGCCACCACCTTGCAGCTTCAACTTTTGAAGGGAATTTTTCAGTCATAGCATCTGGTAGAGGAAGTGGATATGCCTTATCAAGAGCTAAAACTTTGTCCATTGCTTCATTGACATCATTGATATCAGGTTTGCCAAGAGAAAATGTTGTTTGAATTTGACCATGAATATGCTTGAATAATCTTGTTAGGGACATAAGTCACACTTGGAGTCACGAGAGTATATCAAAGAGCCCATACATATATGTTAGATATCATTTGAGTCTAAAAACTTAAGTTATTAGGTTATTGGGTCCTCAATATATATATAAAACATCTCATTTAGATTTTTTACTCACATATGAACTTTATCTCAATAATCTCTCTCGTTCATTTGTAAGTTCTGATCAAGTAACACTTCAACTTTCTAGTGTGAGTAAGTCTTATTAAGACCTCTTTTGCGTTAGACAACCTCACTAATTGGACGGTCTCATTGCACTTTAGGCCCAGTATTCAACCTTGCCTCTTTATGGGTCTAGGTTGTCTCAATGCCCTTCAAGATTTGTACTCAATCACAGCACATAACTTTACTATTTAGGTTGTCTCAATACCTCTCAAACTTGTAATTACACCCTTAACCTTGCACTTCATCAACAAGCTTGTGATTAATCACAACCGTAACATTGCACTCCATCACAAGTTGACTCAGTACATCACTTTCTTAAATGTTTTGATTCCACACACTCGTTGCATCCAAGTCGAACATTTTACTTTAATAATAATGTTCGAGCACATAGAATTGATGGACGTAGCAAATCTCTGATTTGCCAACAATCTTCCCCAAATAATATCATTGGGACTTGAACTCGAAAACTTTTACTTTGATACCGGTGTTCGAGCACATAGAGTTGATGGACGAGGCCAACCTCTAATCTGCCAACAATCTTCTCCTAACAACGCTATTGGGACTCGAACCCAAAATCTCTGATTTGCCAATAATCTCCCTCTAGCAACACCGCTAGGACTTGAAGCTGCAACCTTTGGCTTTAATACTAGTTGTTGGAGAGATAAATCACATTTGGAGTTATAAAATCACACTTGGAGTTACAAAAGCATACCATAAAATCTATACATACATGTTGGACATCATTTAAGCTTAAAAACTTAATCTATTAGGTTCTTAGGTCCTCCATATATATTAAGACATCTCATTTTAGATTTCTTAGTGATGTGAGATTTTTTACTCACATGTGAACTTTATCCCAACAAATCTTGTAGCATTCCTTTGTTCTTTAGCAAGTTGGGATGGTTGAATCTTGTTCATCATTACCAACAAGCCCGTGGTTGCAGTGTAAAGCACTGTAGAAAAAAGCTTGAGTGCCTTCCACTTGTGGATGCTACTCCAGCCATGATGGCAGCAGTGAGAGTCATGGCATTAATGGAAGTCAAAAGAAGGTGATTCCAGTTGTCACGTGCTCTCCAATATTCTTTTGCATTTCCACCCTATCTGCAACAGCCTCCATAATTGCATAAAGCTTGGCAATCACCTCAGGATCAGAACATGTTGTGTTATGTGTCGAATAATTCTGGGATTTCTGGCTAGAAATGGAGTCGTTTTCCTGGATGGTACCTCAACCAAACCTCTAGTAGAGATCTTTGGGAGAGAGACAGGACCCATTAGAACCCTTGGTGCATCAATTGTCTCAGCAATTATTCCACGACGATAATGCAATGAAGGCACACTCTTTGAAAACAACAGGTCTGCCATGGCTGCTGTATTTGGCTTCTCAATCTGAATAGTTTAGGCTGAAAGGCTAAAATAAAGTGGCTTTGAAAGGAATGAATTGTATTTATATTTCTTACTAGCTAGGTTACATTTCATTGCGAAAAAATAAAAGGTAGTTAGAAAAGGTCTAATCGTTGAAACTCGAACGTTTGAACGATATTTCCTTGGCTTTGAAATTAGACCGCTTCTCATCCCAAACTGCTGCTGCGTCTAGGCACCTGGGCTTTCCTTCGCTGACTTTCAACGGCAATAACTAGTGACAAAACTTAAAATAGACAACCGCCTGGCGACCAAGGTCTTTCGTCTTAACTCTAACAGGCGGTCAGCATCTAAATTAGTCTAACTACTTCCAAAATGCAAAACTGGTGCGTAGAGTGAAGAAACCGAAACCACAACTCACCAATAGTAATATATTTTTAATGGTAATTTGCTCAAATTCTTCATGTTTTACATCATAAATTAAGTCTCTCTATGTGGACTGTGGATTAAAGAAATCTTCTGGGATTTTAAAATTCTGAAAAATCCTAATGATATCTTCCTGAAATCCAAAACTTCATTGAAATTACTAAATCATTTCATTAATCCAGGATCTCTGGAAACAATGCATTAATTGTAAATTTTTTTTGATAATTTTTTAAATATCATTTTAATTAGTGCCTAACATTTTCCAATTATTAAACCATATAGGCTATAAATACATATATTAATTATATTAATTGCTTTATATATACATATATATACCCCTTACCCCAATGGTGAAAAAACTTCACATAAGAGTTTTATTTTGGAAAGACCAATAATGCCGAAGATACATATATATCCAAGGCTATGGATCGAGTTGTCAATAACTTGGGATTAGGGTTTGAGAATATTGAATAAACAAATTGTGAAAAATATAAGAAAAATTTTCAAATATATACAAAAAGTCAAAACACGTTTTGGACCACCATGAAAAAGATTGTTAGCAAAATTATGTATCTCCTAAATTATATGCAAAAACATCCTAAGTGTATACAAAAAATAGAAAAAGTGCATTCATTACGTAATGTAAATATATTAGTGTTTTAATCTATTGTTTTGGTGAATAATATATACTGCTGCTTTGATCTCAAGCCACCAATCATATGAAATGAGGTTGACCACAGGCTGCTTGGAGTTTTAAGGCAAGAAAAGTTTGGACAGCAACTTCTTTCCTTATTTAAGACGCCAAGCCAAACCAAACCAATGAGTTCTTTAATTACCATTTCCCATGCTAAGAACCGAGCCCAAACAGGAAATAATATGAAGGCGAACAAGTCAGCCCCCGGGCCAAGTCAATTCAATCGGCAGTCAACATTTCAAAACATGACCTCACCTCCTCAAGTTGGCTCGTGGTTGCTATAAATAAGCCTCCAAACCTCCCTTCAGCTTTCATCCACCAATCTTGCTTTCCTTTGCTCAAAGCGCAAATCTTAACATAGTTTCTAATTATTTCCTCCTACGGACGCGTCATACAGATTCACAAACAGACGAGATCTTAAAGAACAACCCCATCGATGGCTTCTTTACAAGCTTCTAATTTTATAGTCTCTTCTTCTTCAAAGCAGATCCATGCTGCTTTATCGGTCCCAAAGCTTCCATCAATCAAGTTTTCAGTTCCAAAAATACCAGCCAAAAAATTGTCTGAGGAATTGAATACTAGGGATGGGTTCATCAACACAATCCCAGTTGAAAAGAATTTCATTAAGACAACATTGCTTCAAGAAAGCTCATCAGTTTCAATGGCTACCGTACAACTTTATGCTATCTTAGAGGCTGTTGCTGATAGAGTGGAGATGCACAGCAACATCGGCGAACAACGAGAAAACTGGAATACCCTTCTCCTTAACTCCATTAACATGATCACTCTTACTGCCGCAACCATGGCTGGTGTTACAGCAACTGGCGCCGCTGGGGTTCCTCTTTTGGGTTTGAAGTTGGCATCTACTCTCTTGTTCTCTGCAGCCACAGGAATGTTGGTCTTGATGAACAAGATCCAACCCTCACAACTTGTGGAAGAGCAACGTAACGCAACAAGATTGTTTAAGCAGGTTCAGAGCCAAATAGAAACCCTACTTGCTGTTGGTTCTCCAAGCAAAGAAGACGTCAAAGATGCAATGGAAAAAGTCTTGGCCCTTGACAAAGCGTATCCTCTTCCCTTGCTAGGTGTAATGCTTGAAAAGTTCCCAGAAAGTTTAGAGCCTGCTGTTTGGTGGCCTAAAAGCCAGCAGTCTCGAAAAGCAAACCCAGAAAAGCAGTTCAAGGGAAAGGTAGTGAGCAATGGATGGAATGAGGAGTTGGAAATGGAAATGAGAGAAGTCGTTGAGGTGATTAAGAGAAAAGACAGTGAAGATTACGAGAGCCTAGGCAACAAGGCATTGAAGATAAACAAAGTTTTAGCTATATCAGGGCCATTACTGACTGGAATTGCAGCTCTAGGTTCTGCCTTTATGGGGTCTTCCAATGGCCCTTGGGCAGCAATAGTGGCAGCTGTTGCAGGAGCTTTAGCTTCAGCTGTTAATACATTTGAGCACGGTGGCCAAGTTGGTATGGTGTTTGAGATGTATAGAAACAACGCCGGCTTCTTTAAACTTGTGCAGGAATCAATTGAATCAACTCTGGATGAGACTGATGTGGAGAAAAGAGAAAATGGAGAGTTGTTTGAAATGAAGGTGGCATTGCAATTGGGAAGAAGCTTATCACAGCTGAGAGATGTAGCCAAAAAATCCAGTTATTCTCGTATAGAAGGAAGCCCCATTGATGAGTTTGCAAGCAAGCTGTTTTAATCTTGGAAGATTCATGATCACCAAATGTGCATATACAGGATTATTCTTTAATTCTTTGATTCATTAAATTAACCACTGATAATTTTTTTGTACAATTTTGTAACATGATACAAGATGGGTTGAACCATGAATATATACAAACATCATGGCTCATGCATTGAAATCAATTTATATCAGTTCTTTTTTTGTCCAAATAGAGTCAGAAATTTCAAATTTTCAAAGTAAAAGAACTGAATGTTATTGCCTTTGTTTCAGGTAATATGACAACATAAGGAAAGGGTCCGATTGGACGACTAATATGTTGACATTTTTGAGTCTTGGATTAAGGAAACGTTCAACACTGTATGCTTCGACTGGGTCCAAAATTTAAGCCCAATAAGTTATTGGCAATGCCCAATAATTTAAACATTTGACTATGAAATTTTCAGCCCATTTGCTGGGCAGTTATTCAAATTCTTAATCATTGATTTTATTAAATTAAAAAAAAAAAAACCATTGATTAAATCCTAGGCATCCACTCCTTAGTGATCCAACAGATGTTGGTGGAAATTTTGTTGATATACATTGCACTGATATATTGATCATTGACTGATTGATGAAAGAGAGATGATGTTTTTCATGTGTCGCATTAAATATGTTATAAAAGATCATGAGAATTACTATTTGAAATATGAAAATTAATCGTATATTCAATTATTTTTATTTTAAGCATGCTAATATAATTATGACATACATTTTTTTTGTGTGAAATAAATAATAATATCTAAAAATTCAAAATTTAAGGACTCTTTTATATATATATATATATATTTTATAAAAAAATATAATAGATAAATTATTCAATTTTTAAATTAAAATAAAATATATCATATTTAATATTTTAAAATAAATAATTACAAATCATGTATTCAATATGATTCTAATAAATAATCATCAATAAAGTTTAAATTTAAAATCTCTTTACCAAACAAGATTTATATGTTTGCATCTTAATCAAGTTTTTTAATAGCAGTCCATCACGAGTTTTAGTCTACAAATTTTAAAGACAGTGTCCTATCACATTTATCCCTCTTCTTTGAGACAAATAAAACATTTTCGTAAAACAGAAAAGGAAAACCATCAGCAATTAATCACATTAATTTAGGATTAAGGAAACCAATCCTATTGCCACAAATTTTTGGCTAGTTCCAAAGCCACCCACCAGGAATAGCTTGAGTCAAAAACATTTTGTACCAGCCAGCGGTCGACCTGGCAATAGTCTGATTTGCCCCAATCATGGAATCCAAGCCAGATCTCACCCACTCTCCGTAGTGATCTCTCAACTAGATGGATCCCCCTATCAGTTACTCTAATCCCATGTACTCGTTTCAAAAGTCAGTTCAATCAACAGACCAATTACTTTTGACCCTGCTGGCACTGTAACTGGCTCTCATTTCAAGGGCCGTAATTCTTGGTTTCCACACTTTAACGTCGGATAAAATCAGCAACATAGATTAGATTCCTGGTCATGATAGCCGTTAGATAAAGTGAGAAAATGGGAGAAACAGTACAAGTGAGAATGACATGAAGAGAAGGAGACAGAGATTGAGAAGAGAAGTAGTGAAATAGCTCAAAAGTCCTTAAGCACCACTCGTGATGATGTGGTTTTGTTGGCTATGTGTTTCAGACAGGGAAACCCTCCTCCACCCACTACTATGCTACCAACCATCTCTTCATTTTTCCAATTTTTAATACTACTAATATTTTTTTTATATATAATTTCTTTCACACATATATAAAAGGCTATTCTCTCTGCAGAGCAATGTTCTCTTGTGCTCTCTAGATTGCTCTTTTGAAGAAGAAGAGCGCAAAGAAAGGTTCTTTGTAAGCCTTTTCACTCTCTTGTTTTTTCTTATTGCATTAATAGTTTCATGTCTTTTAACAACTTGGTATCATTGTTTTTCTTTGTAATGTTGTAGGGGAATGTGATTGAATCTTGATAATGTGACAACATTGGTTTCTTTTCTTTTTTTTTTTTTTAAATTCCCTTTTCTGTTTCGATCATTTGCATCCCAAAAACTTTGGCATAATGGCGTGGTTTTCATTGGAGATGGTCTGAATATTTGTTGCATGTCTCTATTGGATACCTCAATGCTGATTTTAGACCGTATTGGGTTATCATCTGTGAAGAACTTCATTTGATGTTTTGGTTGGTAATATGGTGTTGGGTTGTAACATTGAAATTGAACCGATTCATTGACTTTCGTTTGTGATTTTGAAGGCAGTAAGCATTTCCATTGAACTACTCCACTTCACTGCTCTTCATTAGAAATACAAGGTGAAGAAGCTTTAGGTTTAGGTTTCAGATGAATATAACATGTTTCTATTCTGTTTTCCTTGTATTAATCATGTTTTTCACCTTAGGCATTTTATGTCCAAAGTGTGTAGTTGAACGCCATATATGGCACAATTGGAATGCTCTAAGAAGGATTTCCTTTGGTACTGGTGTCGCTAGTTGTTTATTTTTGTGTAACTTAACTTGAACTTGTGTTTCCTTACACATGAATTAGCATATACTTATTCTATCTTTAACTGCCAAACTTTTGAAGTGAGAAGTGAATGCTATTCTTAATATTATGATATATTGCTTATTTCTGAAATATTACTCTTCATCAGATATTTCAACTTTAGAAGATGAGAGGAAGTCTTTGGCAACTTGGGCAATCGGTTACACGCCGTCTTGCTCGGGCAGACAAGCAGGCTGTAGCACGTCGGTACTTTGCTTCAGTGGCTGATCTGAAAAAGACTGTTCTTTATGATTTCACATCGCTAATGGTGGGAAGATGGTCCCATTTGCTGGATGGAGCATGCCCATTCAGTACAAGGACTCAATCATGGACTCTACAGTAAATTGCAGGCAGAATGGTGGACTTTTTGATGTATCCCATATGTGTGGGCTAAGCCTTAAGGGAAAGGACAGTGTTCCATTCCTCGAAAAGCTTGTCATTGCTGATGTTGCTGGGCTTGCCCCTGGAACAGGAACTCTAACTGTCTTCACAAATGAGAAGGGAGGGGCAATTGATGATTCTGTGATCACCAAAGTGAAGGATGATCACATATACCTGGTTGTGAATGCAGGCTGCAGGGATAAGGATCTGGCCCACATTGAAGAGCATATGAAGGCATTCAAGGCCAAAGGTGGGGATGTCTCATGGCACATCCATGATGAGAGATCTCTTCTAGCTCTCCAGGTTAGTCACTGGACTCTTCTAATTTTATCTCTCCATGTCTGATTCTCTTTATGGATTCATTGTTTCGCTTCCTTGCAATTTGCTGGTGAATGTTGAGTCAAGGATGCATACTTTTCACACTTTCCTGAGGTTTATTCTGTGCAAATGTTTCTCCTTATTCAAATGCTTTCCGTTTATGCTTGAATAATTTGGTCTGCTTGCACAGTTTGCAGGTTATTGAGAAAATGACTTGCCTGTAGCATTTGAACTATGTTTTTGCTTTCAGCTCTTATTTCTTATGTTTGTAGTTTGTCCTCTAACTATACATAGAAAATGTAGTCTTCAGTTGCAATTTGATTGAATTTGAAAATATTGGAATGTCCTCTTCAAAATGTGAAACATATGTCTGCTCTATTGCAGGGTCCTCTTGCTGCCCCAGTTCTTCAACATCTGACAAAGGATGATTTGAGTAAGATATATTTTGGGGAATTCCGAATATTGGATATCAATAGTGCAACATGCTTTCTCACTCGGACGGGGTAATCTTCCATTTGGTTGGTATGGTGATGTTATCACTTGCTGGGATGCTATGGAGGATAACTGATAAGTTGTCTCTTCAATCCACTTTTCAGGTACACTGGTGAGGATGGATTCGAAATCTCAGTTCCTTCAGAACATGCTGTGGATCTAGCTAAAGCAATCTTGGAGAAATCTGAAGGAAAGGTTAGGTTAACAGGACTTGGTGCTCGAGACAGTCTCCGACTTGAAGCTGGGCTGTGTTTATATGGTAATGACATGGAACAACATATATCACCGGTAGAGGCTGGACTGCCATGGGCCATAGGTAAGAGGAGGAGAGCGGAAGGTGGATTCCTAGGGGCTGAGGTAATCCTCAAACAACTGGAAGAGGGTCCATCAATCAGGCGTGTTGGCTTCATCTCCACAGGCCCACCTCCAAGATCCCACAGTGAGATTCAGGATGAGAAAGGAAACAACATTGGTGAAATCACCAGCGGAGGATTCAGCCCCTGCCTCAAAAAGAACATAGCAATGGGATACGTGAAATCTGGATTACACAAGGCGGGTACCAAAGCTAAGATTTTGGTAAGAGGAAAGGCCTATGATGGTGTTGTCACAAAAATGCCATTTGTACCAACAAAATATTACAAGCCATCCTAGATCAAATCTACACTTCAGCTCCAGAATTTTCTCAGTTCTTTATTGTTTTTTAGTTGTTTTATAAGCTGTACTTGGCTGCTTTCTCTTTTTCTCTTCTTACTTCTACGTTACAAATTGGAAAACAATTCAAAACAATTAATTAAATTGGTTTTAATATATATTATTTCAATAAGAAAAGTAAAGAAAAAAGAGAAAATTGACAAATTCTCATGGTGATCAAATTCTCTTTCTTTGGGTCAACAAAAGGATCTGGGATGAATGATGATTGAAAAAACGACACCGCCTAGGAGGAACATCACTATATTTTATTGCTTGTGGCAAATGAACTTTGGGGCCCCGGCGTGCTTCTCTAAGCAATGAAATCTTGTTTTTAAGGACCCAAAATTATTTTCATAAAAAAAAAGAGGAGTCGTTTTAATATCGTTCAAACAACTGAATCTCTGGGAACCATTCAAAAAATTCGTGGCCATAAGCGTTGCTCTATATCAAAGATTCTTTTTTTTTTTTTTTTGTCAAATCTTATTATATCAACCCTTCTCTGCAGGACGACTTCATCTAAACCCTGTAAGGTGATCCTTTTTAAGCTTTTCCTTTTTGAAATATATAAAATTTTCTAGTTTTGTTCATGATCACCGGTACCGTCTCTTTGATTTCAGTTTCAATTCTTTTTAAAGCGTTTAATCAACATTGAAATGAATTGATTCATAAGCAATTATGAAGAACAAAACCGACAGCTTTCTAGTTTAATCACGAAATTATTTGATGGGTTTTCAGCAAAGTTATGAAATTTTCTCTTGTTTTCATTGCCTGGAAATGTCAGATGGTTAAACTGGTTTAAATATTAAGTTATGTCTGCTAACTTTCCATTGTCTTATTTATTCTTATTTTTTCCTCTTTTGAAGGCTATATTAGGATGGTCCGATGATGTTAACAGTAAATCCTCCGGGACCCATCAATAAAAGCCAGACATTTCCGGGAAATACTACCTTTCATGGTAAACTGCCTTGTGCTGCAATTTACCATAGCCTACCTGCAGGGGTTAGCTGTAATAATGTAGTTCATATTCATAATTCATTGCCCTCATGGAAAGATTCCAGGAAGCTTACTACCCAACTTGTATCACATCGAGTCGCTCCAAAAAGATGGCTGGTCAGCATTGTTGAACCTAAACTCTTTCTTTAGTTTGTTCTTTAGAAATAAAATTGAGTGTTCTACATGTTTGAATTATGATTTTTGACTGTAGTGCAAATCACATGGTTCTGTTTCATCCGATGACGAGTATCGTTCATCAAGGAATATAGCAATCAGCCTGTTTAGGCGATACAGGAATGTCATAGACCGTGGAGGAGGTGACAACCTAAAAGTATATTCAGTTATTTGCTTGATCTTTTTTATGAAAAGGGTTGCCAGATTTGCAGCCTTCTTCATGTAATACTGTTGGATTGATGTTGTATCAGGAGTTCATTAGTGCTGGGGTGAATGCATATGCATTGGGTTGCACGGATGAAGGATTACGGAAAGAACTTATTGCTGTCAAGGAATCTGGCATCGAAATTGAAGCAATGCAAAGTTATGGCGGAAGCACCAGCTTGAAATCCAAGATTTGTGCAGAGGAGGTGAGTTATCCCACATATTTTAGCTTTTATATTTGTCCAAGAGATGCTTTAGTATACCAACAATTTTCTTATGCTTAGCTACGTTCATTTCTTTGAAGCACTATTAACTTTTCAAAGATGTTCTAAAAGCTTAGTTCTTGAAGAATAGATTAGTCTTAAAACTCCTTTGAAACCATCAGAACACCCCACCCCCCCAACAAAACTCCCTTCTCCTCCCTCTTATAGGTAGTAAGAGCATTTGCTGAATGGAAACTTTCTATTTCACTATGCAGGTTGATGAGTGTATTTTATGGCTGAGCATTATATTCATCACCATTTTGTGTACTCCACAGCCAACTATAGTTAGATGGTCTTCTACACCTTCAGTGTCAGACGATGTCCTGCATCAATGGAAAGGCTTCTGTGCTCTCATAGCAAATGCATATTATATAAGAGGAATGGCATGGTGAGATGCTTTTAGAATGCTGGTTGAAAAAACTCCATTTTTGTCAAATGATAGTCATCCTAGAAATGGACGCTGCTGTTCCTTTAGTCATCCTATAAACTAATGTGTTCATATGTTTAAACAGTAAAGCCTGGAAAGATGGATTCTTACAGGTTTGCTAAATTCTTGTTTTGCCAAAGGCTTCCAGTAAAAACCCTCCAGCTAGAGCAAATGGCTGTGGTTGGACGTGCTGAGGAACCATCAGTTGTTGCTAGCCGAATGCGATTAGTTTTTAGCACACTTGAGGTGAGTGAATTGTTAGCCAAGGACTTAAAGCTCCCGATGGGCTTAAAAAGTTTAGGGTGTGAATTTATTGAATCAATATATGTTGCAGAGTAAGTTTTGTCGATGATAATGGACTCTTAAGTTAACAAATTGGTTAGATTGTGATCCATTAGTATAAGAAACAGGTGCATTAATAGGATAATAATATCTTTCTGGTTCAAAATCATGGAGGTGTTATCCTTTTACATGTATTGTTGAATGGTTTCAATGGCTTGTGCAGGTAGTTAGCCCACAGTGGCCAAGAGTGTAATAAGTGCTTGAACATTTACGAGATCCGATTTTCGCAGGATCTTATGTTGGAGCGTTGGTTCTTTTGTAAATTAATGTTGGAATATATACAACATTCTGTGCAAAAATTGTCTGTATAGTCTAGCGTTTGTTATCTTCTTGTATATTCGAACTTGGAAACTTAATAGTCGTCTACTTCTCATTCAGATTGCTGTGACCGACTCTAATCTCATTGTTGATGCTTCCTTCTTTCACGATGAAATGGATTTTCTTATGATATATTTAATGATAAAGTAACACAAAAATATAGAAATAGAATTATTTCATGCGATAAATTTGATGATTAGACATGATTTAAAATTTACTAAAAATTTCCATTTGGAGCTTAGATTTCTACCTTTTCTCTGTTTTCTCTTCAAACCATCAAAATTTTAAAATTAAAATTAAAATATTGGAAATAACATCAAAACTGCAACTGTTTAACATATACAGAAATTATAACTGATCCGGGGAAGTAAAAACTACAGCATAATCCTTAAGTGTCTTCAAAGCACGCCAATAGACAGCAGCAGCAGTTTCTGATGTTCCCAACCGTATATGGAGTTGAAATACAGTGAGGACACAATACAAAAGTCAAAATCTGAGACAATGGTAATAAAAAAAAAAATCACCTTAATCTCCGGGGAATGGTAATCTTTCCATAAGCTAGCTTCTTGGTCATAAGCTGCAAGTGCAGCTTCATAAAATTTATTAGAGAATTTTCACTGCCGAAGGACGCTAGGTTTGACTCTAATTCAATGCAATGTCTGTAGAGAGCAAGCCCTGGATGAGGCAGAGCAAGGAATCTACAATTGGAAGAGGACAACAGTTAGAAACTTCTACACAATTTAGTTATATTCTGCTACTCAAACATATAAATGAAAGAGCAACAGCAGCAACGTTATCTTTAAATTCCTATGGGAATATGATCGAGGCAATATGAAAGTAACAGAAACATTGACTCAAGGCACAATAACATACCGCTTATATACCTCTCTTGCATGTTGAAGTCCATCCTTTTGAGGGATGAAATTAACTACAGCTGAAGAGAGAGAAAATCCATTCTCACTGCCACCATATTTAGCTACCGAATTGAGAGAAAGATCAATCATCTTCTCAAAATACTTCTTCTGGTTTGCAAAGAATTTGAGAGCCTGCAGAACGAGATAGCATTACACCAAGGCTTTCATACTCGTAAACTTAATAGCCTTATTGTTTCTTATGGAAAGGTGATTAAATAAAAGTATAAAATGCTCATAATGCAGTTCACATAATACATTTTTCATGTATAAAACAATGCAGATTATAAAGCACAACTCATATGCACATCTAATATAATCTTTTGCTACTTTATTTAGGCAAATCATGATTTCAGTTGCAGCATAAGGGAATCCGAGTTCATTCAGCAAGAGAAATAATTAAAAATAAAATCAACCGCAGATTTGAAGAGAGAAAAGAAAAGAAAGAATAGATTAACGCTGAAACATACCATTATCCACAAGCTCTCAGCTTCTGTTACTGGCATTTTATTAAAACAGTTTTGAGAAGTTCAAAGATGGACAATGCACCAGCCTTGCTAGGAGAAGGAGAATTCTTCATGATAGATCTAATTTCGACAGAAACCCTTAAAAGCCATAAGTTTACTGAATCTGAAAGTGTTCCACTGCAAAGCTTCTCTGCTACTTTCTTCGCTTCCTCCAGTCTCCCAAGTTTACTGTAAAATGAAATATATTGGCAAGCAAGTTCTTCCGTAAGACACCCCATTGTTTCAGCCTTCTCGTAAACCTTCAAGATATGTGAAATGTAACTCGAAGCATGATTGGATAAGCCAGAGGCTTCCACTTCCCCTCTTTCAGAAGCAATAACATCCATCAAAAATTTTATATACAAATTAAACATCATGGCTGAAGGTACAATTTCCGTTGCCTCGTCATACACATGCACATCAAAGAGAAATAATATGGTCAATACTCAATATATGATTTAACAGACATGCTTGGTAGAATTTTACTTGATAATATATAGTTAATAGTTTCATACTTGAACTGCCTTTTGAAACTGAGAAAGCATGGCATCTTCATTTTTCTTCCCTGTTCTTGAGGCATCAGACATTGCAAGTCTTGCAAGCGAATCCCAATACCCTGGATCAGCTGAAAAATCTCTCTTCATATCACTCAGTATCTCCTCACGAAGCTCTTCTGAATCTGCCACCTCTATTGCTTCCAGTATCTCAAGAAATTGTTTCCTGAGGCTAAAACTAGAAGGAAGTGCTTGAATTGCTCCATTATATATAGTTTTAAGTATACCCGAAGCATGCTCCGAAAACAAATCCAATTTCTTCTCAGACTCTTCATCTGACCCAGGATCATCATTTTCTTTTTCTTCACCATCAAGGGACATAAACAAATCTTTGTTTTCCTCTTTCCATTGCTTCTCATCAGCATCCTTTCTATCATTAACCAAAGTTCCTGTATCCTCCCCAAGAGCAACCTTTCGGGCTTTTAACTTGTTAAGGTAAGTGAGTTCCATCCTAAGATACTCTATCCAAAGGTCTTCTGAATGAGGACACATTCTCAAACCACTCTGCATTAAAGCACGAGCAGCTGCTACATTTAAATTATGATCAAATTCCCAAGCTGCCGCATGTATCCAAACTCCTAGCACCTTGGGGTGAAACCTAATCCCTTGAGCCAAGGCCTATAATTTTTTTAAAAAAATAACAAATATAAACAATTATTCACCACCAAAACCAAAATTAATAAAAACAAAAAATCGTTTTTCCACTTTCTTTTATTTTCTCAGCATCCAAACAATACAGAAATAAATAAAAGATGTACCTTTTTCATTCTCCCATTCTTTCTTTGCCTACAAAACTCAAGGTACCGAAACCAAAGTTCAATATCTCCTTTATATCTCATCACAGCGAGTCTATATATCTCCATGATTCTCAAGACAGAGGCAAAATCGGAGACCCATTTTCTCGTTTTAGTCTTCTTCTTGCTTTGGCACACGAGTTCACCTGTAGCAGCTTTCCTACGGAGTTGGTGGAGCGAGTCGAGCTGAGTCTCGTAGTCGATGTAGGCAATGAAATCTTACTTGAGAGCAGAAGGCCGCTTGAGTCGGTATTCGAACTTGCGGCGTTGCTTTACTCTCTCGGCTATCTCCCAGCGAGAGAACAGACCACGCCGTTCGAGGTCGTCGAGCTCGTCTACCATGCGCTCAAGACGGTACTGAACTACGTCCGCCATTGGTGCTTGGTGTTGAGTCGAGTAGAGTCAGTGTAACTCAGTCTGACTCGGTGTTTAGGGTTCAAGAAAGCGAGGTTAGAGTTTTCGCAGCGATGTAGGGCTGTTTGTATGTGGGCTGAGTTTGGGCATGACCCGAAACAGAATTTGGGCTTAGCGTAACCCAACAAGAATATAAGGTTTTTCTGTTTGTGCCTACTCCCTTGTCTGTGGGCCCTGAGACGAGTCATAAACCAGTGAACAGGACAAATACTCTGTTGAGTCGTCCTAGTCACCCACTGAGTAGCTCTGTTAGCCTGTCTACTAACATGACAAAACTTGAAAGCTTGCAGACATTCCATAAGTAGACTAATATCCTCTTCAATGGCTGACGACTCCCAGCAGGCTCTATCAGAATTCAGTCTCTGACTCAGCTCCTCACTATCACGTTCGAAAATGAAATTCTCCCAACCTTTCAGCTAAGACACATTCCATCCTTAGCGCTGAGGCTCCAGCCACTAGTGCAGACTTTGCGTGCACCAATGTGTTGGTTCTATCGATGACAGCCCCTTTGCCATCCCTCGCAACCACAGCACACCTGCCTTTTTAGTTTCAGCATCAAAAGAAGCATCACAATTAACTTAGGAGGGTGATCGACATTATCTGCAATCTCATGAAACTCTGTAAGAGCAGCCTGCCAAGTACATACAGGACCGCCACTTTTACTTTTAAACAGAAGCTCGTTCCTTGCTTTCCAAATTTGCCAGCAAATACAAGCAATAAATCCTTGGGAACTCACAGTGCCAAAGTCAGGAAGTAAGCAGACGACCTCATTCCACCAATTATAAAATCCCACAGAACCTTCCTTTCTTGGTCTATAACTGAAGCTTGATGCACCCCAAACGGCTTCCACAAAAAGGCAAAAAAATAGAATAGGCCCAGTAGTCTCAACCTCTTCCTCACATCTGCAACAAAACAAAGGAGTGCTTGGTTTTCGTCGGACAAGGTTTTCTTGAGTGGCCAAGACATCCTGGCTCTCTCTCCAAATAAAGTTTTTAATCTTTGGCGCAACCGGTAGCTGCCAAATGCTTTTCCAGAACCGAATGTCAAACTGGCCCCTTCACTTGAATTAGCATAAGGCTCATGGAAAGAAATGTTCAGGAAAGTACTTTTTTTTGTTTTAGAGGGCAAACAATATTAATACTTCAATTCTTTTAAGATTAGTGTAGTATTATATTATGGTGGGTGGGTTATTAATTATTAAGAGTAGAATCTGCAGTTGTTAACTCTGGGTGGGAGCTAATTAGAAAAGAAATATATTATTTAGAACTTCAAAAATATTAAAAATGATTATAAATTTTTAAATTAATAAATTTATTTGTAAATATATAACTTTTATTAATTTATTTAAATTTAATTTAAATTAATTAAAATTAAAATTAAAGTTTATGTAAAATTAAATTACTTAAAATTTTAATTTCATAAGTATTAAAAATGATTGATTAAAATATCATTAATAATTTTTTTATAAATTTTAATTTAAATATATTTTTTATTTTTAGACTCTTTTTATTAAACTCATATTAAGACATAAAATATAATTTTTCACATTAAATAAAAATATAAATAGAACGGAATCAAAACTTAATAGTATGTAAGTAAGATAATTATATAGAGTTTGTTTCTTTAGTTAGTTATTGTACACTAATTGCCCATGTAATTTATGTTAATAAATAAATTCATTAAAGATATATAATCATAATTAAGTCATTAAAGCATATTTATTTTTTATTTTTTTATTTTAATTTATATGCATATTATATATGTATGTTAATAATTTTATTATTTGTATATTTTATTAGTTGATCATTTAATCAATGATAACATAATTAAATCCTTTAGTCTCTTAAAATAATCTTTAATATATATCATTCTCACTGTTTAATCTAATTTCTATACTTATTTTTTTTGTATTTTTTTCTTCTAAAATTTTATAATTGTTATTTTAATGAACAAAAATTATTATCAAATCAAATGCAAATCAGTTTCTCACTCTCCACCAACAATTAGCATCATGTGATTTATTGAATAATTTGAATACTTTAATCCGACTTCCCACTTGAAAAATCACATGATTCAAGAGGTGATGAAACTATCAATAATTCGGGATTGAGTCTTGTCAAATTGCTATAAAAATTGTTCACTTTGACTAAAATAATAATTGATTTAATTTTCTCTCAACTTTTATCTTATCAATGATTTACAACTAAATTATCATTTATTTATAATTAAATTATTAATAATTTATTACTAGATTATTAGTAATTTAGTATTACGTTATTGGTGATTTATTAATAAGTTATTAATAATTTACTACTAAATTATTAATAATTTATTATTATGTTATTATACATTCATTACTATGTTATCATTAATTTACTATTTAATTTTTAATTATTTAATATAAAATTATCATATATTTACTATTAAATTATTCATAATTTACTACCAAATTATTACATATTTATATTAAATTATTCATGAATTATAATTAAATTATCATTTATTAACTGTTAAGTTATGGATAATTTATCACTAATTTGCACACCTTCCACTAACAATATTTAGCATAACATGATTCATTGAACACTTTAAATAAAAGTGATTTAACGGCATTCATTAGCATAATTCATTTAACAAACCTTTATTTAATTGTGTATTTAGTATTTCAATCATTTTAAATTTTAACTTTTTATAATTTCGAGTTAGATTTTAAACTTAAGATCAACAATCAATTCGGTTGAGTTAAATTTCATCATCTATTTTTATTTATAGTATACTCAATTATTTATTTATACACTTGAAAAATTTTGACTCAATAATTAGTGCATACTTCTCTTTATTTAGAAAATTTGATTCAAATTATCTTAAAATGCAAATAAAAACAAGTATATTTAATTACTTATAGTTGTAACTTCATTTTATAAATATTCTTAAAATTTAATTAACTAATTCAATTACAAACATAATAAGTAATTTCACTTTAGAAATATTCTTAAAAATTAATCAACTAGCTAATTCAATTACAAACACAATAAACATGAGATAATGAAGATTAAAGAAAAACTCAAATAATAAATTTTTAAATTGTTACAAAAGATGGATAAGAAATCTTGGATTTTGATTGGATTTTTATTTGAGTTCAAATTTTGGTTATGTTTAATCATTTCGAGTTTAAACAACAACTAAATTGTTAATTATTTAAAATTAATTGCAATTGAGTTAAGTTAGTTAATTTTTATAATTACGTGTATTATATTATTTTTTAATTAAATTAAAATTTAAACTAAGTAAAAAATTTTATGTATATTGTATTTGAGTTTTGAATTATTTCAAGTTTGAGTTGATTAATTAATTTATTTTTAGCTATATTTTATGACACGATAATTAAATTTAGAATAAAGTAAGAATATAATATAATAAAAATTTAAGTGCAAAAGTTATAAAGATACTAATGATAATTTTAATGTAGGCACCCTAGTAGATAGGCTTGAAACCTTTTAGAACGTGGTAAAACCTCTAAAGAGTCTCAGTTCTTATAACATTAAAACTCTTATATAATTTAGGATTCCAAAATAATCGTTCACTTAGCTTAATCTAAGTGTCCCTTTTATTAAATCTCATTCATGATATAAAGGGGTCTCAACTATATATAAAAGATCACCTCCAACACTCATTTGTGTACTATGTATAGCAATAATTGAGTAATATATATTTTACTGTTAACTGGGTGTGTTAGCGTAAGAGTGTGCAACTGGTTTGTGAGTGTGATTTACCTTATTGTTGTAAATAATTATATTTTACAATATACAACTAGCTAAACTCTATAGCATTAAGTGTCAATGCGCTTTTAATAAATATAATATCTTGACATTTTGCCTATAGTGAATAGTTGCCTGTTGCTAACCAAGAAGTTTAATATGTTTGCCTATAGTGAATAGTTACCCATTGCTAACTAAGAAGTGTAATAAGTTTGTCGTAATATATAGTTGTCCATGGTAATCTCATTCGTGCTTTAAAGATTATTAGGGAAAGAAAGGTCTTTAGACCTATGGAATTTGTGGTAAAAATGAAGTTTATGTTAAGAATTATCCTGCTATTAAATTTTTTTGCATTTAATATAGATTTTGCATCATTTTATTGCAACATCTGTTTTATGCAATATTGGTAGTTTTTCATCTGTTACAATCGAGGAATTATGGTTAATGGGTTATGTGGTATTTACGGTCAAAATTAATTTAGCCCATTATTTCCTTTAAAGGATAAGAAATGTATTGAGATCTAAAACCACCAACTTGTCCTATGTTAACATTCTCACCCTTATCACTAAAGATAAAAATGTTATGTGTGAGAGTTATTTTAAAAAGCTTACTAGCAAAACTATTGTTTATACTAAGAAATCAATATTGCAATATTGATAGTTTTTCATCAGCTATAATTGAAGAATTATGACTAACGAAATTTATGGTATCTTAAATCAAAATCAATTTAGTATAATATTTGTTTAAAAGGATATGAAATGTGTTATTTTTTAGTAACACCAACTTGTAATAACAATATTCTCATTTTATTGTTAAAAATAGGCTAAATTCTTAATTTGAGATTAAGCGTTCGAGTAATTACCCAATTCGAAACTAAATATTTTAATTTATACAAATAAAAATTAAACATTATCGATTTCTAACATTATAGGATGCTTTTTAAATAGAAATCCTATTGTGAAAGATACACGTTGTTATTGTGCATTAAAGAATAAAGTCGAGCTGAGTTAGATTTTTCTAGGTGATTCAATCAAAGAATGGCATATGAGATAGATGTGTTTTTCCTTTCTCTCTCTAAAGGGCAATTAGTTCTTCTTTTCTTTCTCTAAAAATTAATTTTAGCCTATCCTCAAAACTCAAATTTTTATTACTATCCTGTAATAAGCTTTGATGCTGATGAAGTTGGCTACTAGAGCCTCCAAAAATAGAACTTGAAAAGTTGAGATCTATACCTTAATTAGTACTGATGGTGTTGAGCTCAGCATATAACAAAAAGTGCTTCCAATAATCTTTCAAATAACTAATTTTTTTAAGTTATGAAAGATTAGGATACAAAAATAGTTCATCTTTTACCTTAAACATCAAAGAAGCCGAGCAAGCTAAAGGGTCTTCACGCCAACTGCTATTATTCTCATTTGTGAAATCTTTACTTGGGAAATTATTGCTTGCTATATCGGTGGTGGTATTGCGGCAGAAGTACAACCTTTCACCATTGCATAAGATTGCTGTCGTCAGCCATTTTTAGCAACCTATAATCAATGTCGAAACTTTCAAACACCCAACTTCAAATTCCATGTTTTCTTAAACGAATTAGGCAAAAAAGAAACATGGATAGAGTAGGGAAAAGGGACAGCACTGACTTTTTTTTAGTGTGAAAAAAAATAGTTGAGAGAAAAGATAAAAAAAGCATAAGATTTAGACAGAATAAAAAAAAAAAAGTAAATCGAGGTGCAAATTTTGTAGACTTGCAAACTTCAATTTGTAAAAAGAAGAGAAATGAAATGAAATAGGCTTAAAAAAAAAAAAGATAAAATCCTTTCATTAGTCATTCAAGGATTAAAAGCTTAATTTCACATCATTTTTATTTGTAATAATTTTTAAATTTAACGGCACGTATCTTTCACAGCAAATTTTTTGTTAAAAAAAATCATACATTATTACAAATCGATAATGTTTTGTCTTTATTTATATAAATTAAAATATTTAGTCATGAATTGAACAAATATCTAAACGTTTAGTCTCAATTTGAGCATTTAGTCCTAAAAATAAAAATATTATATGTGTGAGAAATATCTTAGGGAACTTACTAGCAAATCTAATGTTTATACTAAAAAATCAATAGTCTTAATGTATTGAAAATTAAATAACAAAATATATGAAGATATAAATTTTATCAATGATTATTGAAAATATATCATAAATAATTAAAATTATATAAAAAATTATCAAAATTATATAAATAGTTATCAAAATCAAAATTACATTATTAGTATTTATTATTATACTTATAATATTTTAAAAATAATTAAATTTTTTAAAATAAAAATTATTCGTGCGTGTTGAAAATTTTATATAAATATATATATAAATATATATAATTGGCATTTAAAAGGAGACATTTATTTCCTAAACAAATCTCAAGGCTGACTTGACATGTGACATGAGACATGGTTTGAGGGAACGTAACTGCAAATATTTTTAACTACAAGCTAGCTAGTTAGCTCTAGGATCACCATTATTATTTGAGCCCATGCTCATCCCAAATTCCATTTTAATGCCATTTATACTGTAAACTTTCCCACCTCCATGTCCTTTCTCACTTTTTGAACCTCCTAACCCATGTCCATTTCCTTCTCCTCCACTGCCATCACCACTTCTTCCTCCTTATTGGACCTTGGGACAAATTATTAGCCAAATTAAAGAAGAGAAAAAAGAAGTTCATAAAGTGTCACCGATTTCAAGCATAAGTCAACCTGCCACACGTGAATCAAGCCTGGCTTATCAGCCTTTGCAAATACAATGACCCCTTGGTCACCGTTCGTCATAATTGGATGTAATAATACTGTTAAGGGTTGTCTATTATGATGGTTAGTAAACGTAGACTTTAAAAACCTACCCAACAGAACAGTGTAAATAATAAAAAAAAAAACTTATTGATATTCCAAACTGGATTTGTTATTGATGTACATAATTTTAAGCAAGAGTGAGTTCTAATGAGACATCATTCACATCTAGCTTCTCAGCTTTGCCCAGCCTTAACGTTGACCGGGAAACTTTTGAGTTCAGCGATGGACTTATCGAAGCATCAGATATTCTCGCTGCTGCTGCCTTATGATCAGATAAGTCAACCACTAGTCTTTGATGGTTGCACTTCCAACCTGCACCACCATATAGCCCCACTTTTGCTTGCTCATTGCACATCTCCTGTGAGATCAATTAACAGAAAGGAATTAGAGAAATTTGTATTCTAAAGAAATTAATATGTTGGTGTCTAATTTATTAACAGAAAGAGAGTGATTATTACTGGGATCATGCAACTTTTGAGTAAATCCTTGGAGATCATATATGAATTTGATCTCTGCTCAGATCCTTTATTTGTTACTTCTGCATATGGTAACTGGCTACTCACTTTGTTTCCATTCCTGCAGATATATATGGACAGGTCATAAAGTAAACTATATTTCGTATTGGTACCAAATTGCTATCACTCAACATTATCAATATTATAGCAACACTATACCCGACTTTATTACAAAAAAAGTATATAATATAACAAGAACGAATACGGACCATTGTTCAGGAAAGATGGTATTTGAAGACATCCCTTCGATTCCGAAGCTTAGATTTTGAAAGGAATTGCAGTTAGGGGTTCTTCCATTCTGAAGCTGATGATTTTGTTGGCAGTTGATCGGATCCGATCCCTTCTCAATTCTCTTTGCCGCTGTAGCTGCTTCTGTAATTTACAGAACCAAATATATGGCACCCAGAATTAGTAAAGGATTTAACCTTTGAGACTATATATTACAGGACATTAAAAAAAATGAAATCTATAACTTCACAATTGAGATATTGGCAACTGGAATTAGAAATTTATTATATGAGATTATCCTCAAGGTGTAGTGATAGTCATATGATATACACGAAAGAATATATTTTTTAGTGATGCACAATCAAATGTTAAATATTTATTAATTAAAGTTCATCTATGTGATACATACTATAATCTTGACATGATCTATTTTTAATTCATATTATATTTTTATTTCATAATGATCATGAGCATTAAGCACCCTTTAATTTGCCCATATAAAGCTAGACATATTGGGAAAAAAAAAAAGCTAGAATTAGGATTCGTAACCGAAAATAGGACAAGTTAATTAAAAATTCTATTTCAGGCTTGTTAATCAACAGCTAGCTAGCCATTTCAGGCTTGTTAACAACAGCTAGCTAGCCATTTGGAATTTTCATTCACTTCTCACTTAAAATTTAGTTATCAATAAGAAAATAAAAATCAATTTTACACTCGGAGTATGCATTAATAACAGATTCCTGTGTATACCTTGTATCATCTGCTCATGCTTCATGCTCCTGTACATCTGTTCATATATGGAAAGCCAAAAAAAAGTTTTTAAAATACTTGCCAGATATTAAAGAGTTACCATTGGAAAATAAAAATCAAGAGAATTTCTCAACAAATATAATGTTTTTGCAGTAGTTTGATGATCAAACCTGAAGATGGCTCTTTACGTGGGAGATTGTAAGTCCCTTCACATCCATTATCTGTAAAACCATCTTCGGTGTAGCTCCTATAAGTTTAGTTCCAAAACCATAATATTAATAGTTAAATTTTTCTAAGAAAAAACCAATGAAAATGATAGATGTTATTTATCAAAAGGAAAAGGGATAGGACTTGGAAGATGGCTTACTGTCTTCTCCACCTAAGTGTTCAACTGCATGCACAAAGCATTGGTGAAGATCATGAGTCCATCTTAACCGAGGCATTTTTGATCTAACATAAGGCCTTACGACAGGCGATTTCAAGCTTATTTCTGCCAGATTCTCATCCATACGTCGCCTTGTAACTCTCATAGTCGAAGATGACTGTGAATAAAATGGAGACCCCTTAAGCCAACGATCAACATCAATTCTCTTCGTTTGCCTAGACTAGAGAATAAATGATAGAGACAGAGAGAGGAAAGAGGCGGTCTTTAGTGAAACAAGAAGAGAATAAATACTAGTCAGACTGTTTTATAGAAATTGTCTTGTTTTGTAGCTTTTCTTGCACTCTCTTTAAGGTCAGTTTAATTGGAGGTTCGATTAGAAAATGGGAAAATTGGACACGGAATTTCAGACTCAGATTTCTTCAAAATAAACATAAAATGACTTCATGAAACTTGATTGGATGAAAACCAAAGGTTAAAAGGTAAAAACATTTCTACCCAAATTTCTTGATGATATCATGGTTTCAAAACATCCTTTGGTTCGTGCATTTCCTGAAATTCATTCTTCGTTTTCTTTCTTTTTTCAGTCGAGCAAAATGAATGCAACTGCTGACTATATTTATCATCCAAATCAAGCAGTCACGTGCGTATAGGAGAGAATGATTTTAAAGAAATTTTACAACCTAAATTTTAATTTCTTCGGTTCATACTATCTAGATTAGCTCAGAAAAAGTTTTACAGTTAAAAGTTCCAAAGGAAATTAGCAAAGCTAAACGTTATAACAAAAAAGAAATAAAGGGTCACTACAAAACAAAGACCTAACCGTTAAAAATGGCACAAAGTGAAACATGGAGCCATACGCATTTGCACTTCCTACAAGAAACATGCTCATACCTCCCCAATTCCTCAAACATGATAGTTCCCTTTATTCCGGCCATCACTTTTTTTTTTCTTCCTTGCATCGAACACCAAATGAAACTTTCATATGCCATTTTCACACTAACGATCAGTGTATTCAACATCACCAACAAGGCGATAGCGCCTGTCGCCACGTAAGCATTTCCGCATGGGGCTTGTTTCTCATGCAGTGCCACGTTGATGCCGAAACGTCACCATTGATGGCCACATTGTTAGGCTATGCCTATGCATGACCATGTTTTGCTATGGAATTTTGTTTTTGTTTTATCCTTTTTTGATGTGGTGGCTGAAACAAATGTTGTCTGTCGGATTGTGGCGGTTCCAAGGAATTGCTGACAGGCGGTTGGAGAATGCAAATTAAAGAAGACGGTTTCAAAATGGGGCATATTCCTCTGGATGGATTTGCCAGAAGCATGGACAACTGTGTCGTGATGTCGTAAGCTTGAAAAATGATGGAATGAGAATTACGTAAAGTAAGCTAGTCTGAATTAAGGAGATTCCATGCAAAAGCAGATTTTTTTTCAAAGATTTTTTCATCATCCAAGACGTAGCAAAGCAACTTGGACTTCAAACTGCTGCTGAAGTTAATGCTGTATGATACGAATCATGCCCAGGCCCTCCAATCTGCCTTACACAGAAGTTATGAGGGTGATGCTTGGTGATTGTAACTTGAACAATTAAATTCTTGAGAGATTAATTTAAGTGTTTCAAAGACTTATTTATATTCAACACTCATGAATATTTTCCTGGAAGATACCGTGAAATCTGGAAGTTGAAAATCAAATAAAATTGTTCTGGCATCCTGCAGTCGCAAGGTCATACGTGGATAATATATAAATTGAATGCCCATCCTGTTGTCATAGAAACAAGAACACGCTCTAGGAACACCAAGCAAAGAGAGAATTGACTCAAAAGCTCAAGTTGAGCTCTCACAATAATTTCCCCCAATTGACAACCTAATTTTGTTCATCATATCCCAAGCTTGCACCCTGTCACACCTTCGTGACATTACAATCTTAGCTAATTCAGAGAGGCCTTGTATGGCGACCTCTGGCACGGCCACAGAGAAGAGCATTCTTTGGGATTGGCAATTCATCTCTCCATGAATTTGCAGGGGAGTAAACCCTGAGATAGAACTGCTGGCCTAAATATTGTCTGGCCCAGTTCTCAGACCTTATATTCCACATTCCCACGTTGTCCAGAGCCATGTAGATCGCGGTCCATGACCTGGGATACACCTGCATTCACTCAAATAATAAATCAACAAATTGAGACTTAGAGGCTGTGCCCCTCTAGAGTTGATCACATTTCAAGCACATTGATATAAGGACAACTATCTATATTGCGTACTTGAGTAGTGCAGCGGGCCACTGTGTCTCTCAAATTGTAGGTTGCTCTACTAGAGGGCGTCCATTGGCCTCCATCCATCCTGATCATCCAACACTTTTTAACAACGCATTTAGCCATACATAGAAAAATTGAACATAGCGCATAGGTATTAAAAACCTTACCCTACAACAAAGAACGAATAACCATTAATATGCCATGACTGCACAGTGTCCTCCCAGTTTTGAAATACAATCTCAACATATTCTCGGAAGTTGGCTGCCATGACAGAGGTCTGAAAGTAGGCATTATTTCCAGAAGGGGGCCAGGTAGGAATGCTACCAAGATTGAAAACTCCAGGAATCTTGAAGTAATCTGCTAGTTTTAGTGAGGTGTCTGCTGGAACATATGAGACACCATTGACAGCATACCTCTGCTTTCCATTAATATAAGGTGCAGAGTTTTCAAGCATGATCGTGCGGCTTGGAGTGATCAGTCCATAGTGGTATGAGCCTTGGGGATTAGGTCTAGGTCCACTAGCTGTCAGGTTCCAACTGGTAGATGAAAAACAATCAGGCTCGATAGCTACTTTTAAATGGTTTAGATTGTTAGCTTCTGAAAAGAATATAATGAGATAAAGTACCGTATGGATCTCGCCTGCAGGATTGATGGAGCAATTTGAATGGTGGGAGCCTCAGGAACTGCGCCAGAAACTCCCTTTTTTGAATTGCTATAGTGAAGAATGGCAGTTGTTGTGAGCACACGACGAGTGAAGCGTGAAGAGACAACAATATAGTAATCCTGCGGTGCCTGATCAGCAGTGACCAAGAAAGAGCACGACTGTCCAAGATGGATATCAAAAGAAGTGTAGGTGTTCTGGAGTGTATGAGATCCTTCCACTTCTATAAGTTTCAAGTTGTGCCCCTGGATCCCGAAGTTAATTGTAGTTGTAAGCCCAACATTTGATATCCTGAACCTGTATGTCCTACCTGAGTTAAAAAAAAAAAAAAAGCAGTGTCACCAACAACTCGTCATGTGTAAATTTCAAAGCAAGGATAAAAGAGAATGCCTCAACATAGAAAGGATATATCCTACCTAATAAAAAACTGAATAAATGAGTATTTATAGATCTAAGTGATCAGATTTATTGGAACAACAAACAACAGATTCAACTAAACTTCAATGGGTTGGGGACTTGGAAGTCAGTTATTATTGACCTGGATCAACCGTGAATGTGTATCCATTCCACCCTTGACCATTAATGAGAAGTCCATCGGGGAAGGGAAGGTTACGACCACTGTCCAAGAGACGTCTCAATATCTTAAGAAACAAAGAAGGATTAGTCAGTATTCAGAGGAAAGAAATAAGAAAAAGAAGGCGTTGAAACAATGATTAAGGCTCCAATCCCCTACTTATGTGATAACATAATAGATCGAGAAACAGAATTCTTACATAGTGGTTTCTCTTATACCAGTCCCCAGCCAGTACCGTGAAATCCCTAGCGGGAGTAGGAAATGGTACAGGAATCTTTGGGCTGCTCCAGATTCTGATGCCACCATATCCTCCAGCAGCCTTATGGAATAAAAGTGATGGGAAGTAGAAAAAGCTACCAATCTGATCTTTCACTTGGAGAACGTAAGTGAAGTTCTTCCCTGGTCGAATTGGACAGTTCGTGCCAAAGACTCCATCTTGCCATGAGTTCCTCCTCTGCTGCACACCATTCCTGCAGAAGTAAAAACAGGAGATGACTGTCAAATTTCACATATTGCTGCATCCAATAGGTGTTTCTGTTTATTTCATAGACATAAACAGAAACTGTTTTCTCTCTCTATATTCTATTAGTTGATGATGCCATATATCATATTAACTTCCTGCCTGGGATATTGGCAGAAATTAGATGACTGGATTACTCACTATCACTAATATAACATAATTATGGTAAGTAAAAATAAACATTTGGAATGATCTTACAACATGCAAAGATGCCAAGATTTGTAACTGTAAGTTGCATAAGTAAGAGCTTTCAACCCATTATGAGAGCTAGGCCGAAGCCCGAGGTCATACATAGGCCTAAATATACTCAAGGGCACATCTTTTTTATTTGTTGATGGGCAAGCACATGGATTTAAATATTTGATTGTAATCAGTTCTGCCATAACTATGCAGACAGTGTCAATTAATTACATTCATTTTTTAATATTATAAGACATGAAGATCCATAGATGTGACATGTAGCAGGCGGAGGGCAAAAGTTACTATACGCAGCCAACTGCACAAATTGGATTTTCAGAATAGTATTAATCTCATTGAGTTTAGTTAGAAAAGAGAGAGTTAATCAGTTAACCATGCAGGGACCATATTGTCAGAGTCTTTTTAAAAGATTGTCTGAGAAATGTGAACCAACGAAAAGCAAAATGACAAAAATAGCTGGAAAAGTAATTATGCCTTTTTGCCCCCACTCTCCAATTCTTTATGCACTTCCATACGAAAGGATCAAAGATAAGGAATGGGGATAAGTATCAAATTTGGCATCAGTTAATACCTTCCTAAATAGAATTGCAGATTTCTACCAATGGTAAACTTTCAACTGTTCAAGCATTTAACCACAGATCAAACAAACTGAAAACTTTCCCACTAAACTCTAGTAAAATACTATACATAATCATGAAACCAAAAGAACACAGCTTAGCTTAAAGTGGATGACATTGGCTTAGATTAAAAGCAGCATTTTGAGTTTATGCGCATCTTCATATTTACTTTCTTTAGAAGATTAAGTAAATGTTGAACTAAAAATAAACAAAAAGAAAGAGAGGAATGTTAGCATGATTACCAAGAGATAAGGAATGGTTCATTTAAGTAGTTATAAACACTGATAATCAGGTTATCATTAGTAACTGCATCGATCTGAGGCCCTGGAAACTGCCCGTTTATTAAGATCCCCTGCAACACATTTTGCAATATTCCAATCCATTACTCGAACAAAACAAATTAACTCTTGCCAAACAAGTTTCTTTGAGAAACCGAAACCAAACCCAAAAAACAAAGAGAGAGGGAGAGCGAGAAAAGGCACAGCAATTTTCTTTTGTAGACCAAGAAAGTATCTTCCTTTGGACCAAAAACCAGAAAACAAGGAAGAAAGTACCTGTTGCTTAACGCCAAGAGGGTAAATATCACCGTACATGACTTTCCAAGTGATATACCGATAAGGGGTTTCTCCATTGACGCCAAAAAACAAAATGCAAGCAATGAAACAACAAAGAAGAAGCTTGCTATCTTCCATTTTCCTGTCCACTTTTTCCTACTTACAATACAAACCCACTCAAAAACAGAAAAAAGAATGCTTGTATTGCAAAATGTTATATAGAACACAGATCTAGAAAGAGTGACTCTTTAAGGCACCATTGTTGTAGCTTTCTCTAAATCTATCTTTCCTTCTGTTTTTATGGGCTTTTTATTTTAGTATGGAGGCAAAAGCAGAGCTCTGTTTTGTATGCCAGTGAAAGAACAGAGCTTTGGAAGATTATATATTAGCTGTCATTGGGTTCCAATTAGATGCGGTCGAATCTAGTGAAACAGATGGTCCCGGATCTAATCACTGACTACTTTAGCATCACGTGGGTCCAGTTCATGTTGTGGGACCAGTGATAGCCGCTTAATGTTTGACGGGTTGCGATTTGGTATTGGTGTTGGCCTTAAAAGGTTACCAAACTTTGGATGAAAGAGAAACTAGCTTGTGATATATGCAAAGTTGTAAAAACTGTCAAGTCACAAGACAGGAGTCAATCACGTGCAGCTTGGAACCACCTAATTTCATGTGCCATTGTCCGAATTTGCTAACAGTGACTTCTGATCCATCTTCAATTTTCCACAGGCATGGCAAGATTACCATGGCCGAAGAAAGTCCCGACAAGAAAAAGGGGGTCAAGGAAAACAAAAAAAGATTATTAGATTCTATAGTTTAGACATTTCCAACAAGAATCCGTGATCAATAATGGCAATTGTATTTCGAAGTGGAATGCCTTACTTACCTTAAAGAACTTTCATAAATTTAACAAGAATTGGGTTTCTTATAATATGTGACTAAATTTAGGTTGATGTTAAGTACCTGCACTCATTGGAGAACGAAGATGGTGGAGTCCACGGGCCCAGCCGTGAGTGACGCAGTGGTGGACCTGACCGAGCAAAAATCCCACATTTCACACAGGACTTGACTGGCTTGCCTCTATATATGATTACTTTGTGAAACCCTCTATGTTGACTAAAATATTGGATGATCCCGCATCTTGGCATCTTCTTGAATTCTGAACAGTTAGAACAATCCCAAGACTTCGATACAAATTGGGTCTTAATTGGTCAATTGACTTTTCCTATGCCTGCTGCTCATGTCTAGTGAACTGCGAAGTATATTGCAACTTCCACGTTGTTATCTAGGTAAGGATTGGATCTTATGTATTGTTGCGGGGTAAATTTATTAAAATGAGTAAATGCTTTAGTGGGCGCCATAGGTTTCATTGTACAGGAATTGATTAATTAATAAGAGAATTGGGTGGCAATGCCAAAGATATGAAATCATATGATTTTCATACATGAAGCTTTATACAAAGTGTGAAATGCTGTAAACTATTTGCATCATTCCGTTACTTGTCTATACAAAACTGCACACAAGTTTGCTTGAAAGTGCGGATGGAAATGGATCAACAGTTCATCAAGCTTTGAATGAATTATTTACTTTGCCGGACTAGGCATTAATGACCAGAGATATTTAAAAGCAAGCCATAATGATCACTTGGCAAAACAGGAAGATCCAATAACTTCTATCTTCTCACGGTCTTCTCCTCGATATAAGATAGACCAGGTATTGCCTCTATTCCAATCATCTCAATTCCACTTACTTTAAAATCATGCAGATTGCATACAAATTGGTCTAGACACTTCCTTAATATGTGACTGCCTGATAACATTTGGTTGGATTTGGTATCATATGTCCATTGGACTGGGGTTAACGAGAATACCATTTCAAGAGTTAAAAAGCTTGTTTGGTTTTCCACTTTTGCCGCTTTTGGTGTTCCAGTTTGGTCTGTACTAGGTTTGGCAGACGCAGATATGTCGTCTGGCCCACAATCAGCTACACGTGTGCAAAATGGGGCCCACAGTGGAATCACGTGCTTTAATCGTGGATGGTCTCCTATTGAAATCCAGGCGAGAACAAAAGACAGTCAGGAGGACACAGCCAAATATCAAACAAAAAAGCACGGCATCTCCGGCACCATAACAAGCACGGAGAGTCACGAGCATAAACAGAACACCTGTATCATTCACATCACATGTGGGTGAAAATTGTCCAAAATGGTATCCTTTTCTGATATTTCCTTCTTTGGGTTAGGCTTTGATGCTTTAGATACTACAATTCATATATTGCAATTCATAAGAAAAAACTGAGATGTCTTGATTTTGCATAATTAAGATGCATAATGGTGGTTTAGATGGTCCATTTCCAGCAATTCATTCCTTACAGAAGATTGTAAGGAGGTAGGTGTCTTCTGAGAATGGATTGTACAATACTGTTGGGCTACCGTTCTTGGTTGCTCACCTTGCCTGCCTTTTCGAAGGAATAAAACGATGAGCCATGAAGCATAACAAAATGGGTTTAACTAATTAATGGAATTTTTTAGGTTGAAACAGCAATAAGTACAAATGTTGGAATCAATTTAGAAAAAGCAGGATGCTTTTTAACCATACGGAATTAAGAAATTAGAATCCTTCATGAATATCTATAGTATCACTCACACAAATGATGAAATGAATATTATACCAGGCTGATGAACCAATTGCTTTTTCTTTTTTCTTTGTTAGAAAGTTTTGGAGTAGCAGAAGTTTTAAGGCCTCTAACAAAATCAAACTTCGCAAACAAATCTGTGCATTTTTTCCAATTGCACTAGCAACAAAATAGCAGTGTTAGATCTCTCATTCTTGATGTTAAGTTACCGGCGTGGTTTTGCACTTAATTCTAACCGGTTTGTTGGGCCAAACTGCCAATCATTAAATAAACAAATTTAGCTACATCAGAGATTGGAGACTTTTCCTGTTTTCCGCAGTTCACATTCTCAGAGACTAGCACAAGGCCGCAGTGTAGTCCTTCTATCCGGTGCCTGTCTGCGTGGTGGCTTTGGTTACACCTCTTCTCTTCCATTAAGAAGCTAAAAGAACTTGCCTGAAAACCTTGGGGACTGAGTACAATTGCTGAATTCGGTCACCACACAACTCAAGGATGCTAATTCTTGTAGCCTGTGGCCGAGACTTGAAAATTCTGGTCACTAATATCAAAATTCAAAAGTAGCCGTGGTCGCTTCAGATTCCATCACGAGACTTGTGAAAGCGTGTAGGAAATTTCCTCCTTTTGGGACGAATATCAAAAATAGTAATCTCTAATTCTTGATGATTAATGATTCATTAACCAAAAACATCTTGAATGACTTGTGATAAGATTTGACCAAGTTGGTGATCTTGGAATCAAAGGCTACCTTATTAAAGTTTTGGCAAAAATACATTTAACAATAACGTAACTCTTTAATCGTATATAAAGACGACTAAGGCCCAACCGATCTCGAATCTACAAAACAGCAGACCACCAAAATAAAACTTCCAGGAATAAAGAACATTTTTCAATATACAGAAACACCCAAGATAGGTGCTAGGGCCGGAATGGCAAAATCTGGGTTCATTTCCCAACTTGAAGCTTACCCAACATGGCGTAGTGGAGAGTTCATCTTCCATCTTCATGTGTTTGGTTATGTAACTGACAACAAATTATTATTTTTGATACCACCACCCAACAGTTGATTTGCTAATTCAACAAGTTAATTTTGATTCCCATCATCGGAGGGCATTAATAAATGCCATCAATGAATCGACATCCCTCTTCTCAGAGGCATACTTTATTGGCTTAGATGAGTATTTGGGGAAGAAAAGTATAGTGGGGAAACTTCCCAACTGCAACTCCTTCTGTGCGTACTCCTTTTGTTCACCATCAGCTCTGAATTTTGCGACTTTCACCCCAGAACCTGCCAACTTCTCAGCCAATTCAACATACGATTCTTCCATTGCCTGCTCAAAATTCACAGATTGATCGTTAGATTGAAGACAAAAACCAACATATTTCAACTAAATTCTGCATAATTAGAAATAGGGGTTACCTGGCAAAAAGGGCACCATGGGGCATAAAGCACAACAAGCCATGGTTCTTTCCGGCTCTCCAATCTTGCCAAATTCTCAATTCCTGTCCTACTCAGTGTGACCAAGCTCTTGCTATTGAAAATGTCACTTTGGGTGCCAGTACCATTGGAATGGGAAGCCCCATTCCCATTGCCATTAAGTTGTGCTGCACTGTCTTGTTTCAAATTTCCTTTATGAAGACCACACTCCTTGGCCTTGGCATCCTCCCACCACCACCTTCCCTCCCTTTCATGTTGTCCTGGTAATACTGGCCTTGTGCAAGGCTCGCAACCGATAGACACATATCCTTGGGTATGCAAAGAATTGACAGGCACATTCATCGCCCGGAGGAAATTCCAAATGTCTTTACCATCAACATTGGAGACTGGGTTCCACTTCACCAAGCTACCAATCCCACCATCCATTCCTTCAAAAACAGGGTCCACTTGAACAACAGGAACCTCCGACCTAGTTCCCGGAGACTGATCTTTCCTTTGACCGGTAATCCAAGCACGCAAACCCTTGAGTGCTCTCCTCAAAGGCCTCACTTTCCTGACACGGCAGCATTCTTGGTGGCCATCCTCGTAAAAAGAAAACAACCCCTTACTCCTCACCAATGCCTGAACTTCAACAGCATCAGGAAACATGTACTCGATACGAATTCCATAGTGTTTCTCAACCTCATCAAAGAATCTATAAGTTTCCGGATTCAGCCTACCAGTATCAAGGCTGAACACCCTAAATGGTCTACCAGTCAGTTTCGCATACTCGATCAAAGCAACATCCTCTGCCCCACTGCAAAAATTAAAAATAAAGTCCCATTACTAATTAACACTCAAAACTATGATTCATATCAGAAAATGGAAAGTAATAGCGGCTTTAGCACATTAAAAAACTGCACTTATTTCGTATACTTCCGATAGTGAGAATATTCGAGTAAGATGCTTTGCTATATACTTTTGAGCTAAGAAGGGAAAACAAAAGAAAGGATACCTAAAGGCGATAGCAATGTCGTTTCCGAATTTCTCTAAAGCCTTATCAATGATTTCCAGTGGAGAAGCGTTGTCAAGTTCTTTGGCCAATTGCTCGTAATCCTCCACCTCTACTTTTGGCGATACTTCTGTTAAACCATCAATAATTAATCGCGATTAAACCTTTTTAATCACCATTAAATTAAAATTAAAATTAAAATATTAGAAAAATGATTTTTGAAGTTTTACCTGGAGCAACGATTGTTGCTGCCAGAGGAACCATGGGATCATTCCGTTTTGGCTCCGCATTTACGGGCTTCATTGCGCTACGTTTGTGAGACAGATTCACCGTTGCATGGCGATCCGCTAAACGAAATGAACCAATTTGCGGAACTGAAAAACCCAGACAAAACATCAATAAACATAATTAACAAAAAAAAAAAGCGAAATTCAAGGAAAAAAAAGAAGAAGAAAATAACATAATTAAAGTACCTTTGATGTCAGAAGAGGCACTTGAACGAGAAAAGCTGGAACCAGAAACTGCATTCGAAGAAGAAGTAACCGCAAACGCCATTTTCAAAAAATTACAATCTTTGTTTTAATAAACAGAAATAGAAGAATAATAAATAAATAAAGAATAAGGATCCTTCGGTCTTTCTCTGTGTTTAGTGATCGAGGAAGAAAGGGTTAGAGGGTTAAATAGTGGCCTGATAAAAGGCATGATACCAGGTTCATTGAACCTGGACGCTATTTTAGATACCTTGCGTTGGCTTACGTGGCTGATTTTGGTTGGATGGAGGTTAATCTAGTCGCTCATTGCTTCCGTCACGTGGCCAGCACAAGAGAGACGTGGTCAACGTAGAGACGGTTTAAGTTATTTCTTGGAGGCTGCAAAAAATGGTCACCTTAATTTCTTAGATTATTCGATTTTTATCTTTTTTTTTTTTTTTTTTTTGAGGGTCTAAGGTGTGGTTTAATTATGCGATTTTTTAAGGCCTCAGCTCTCCAGAGTCATTTGGTTCAATCAGAGCGGTCCACACTAGCAGCAAAGGTCCAATTTTTTCCTTATTTTTGAATGGGGTGAAAAATATCTCATTGCATTTTTCACCCTCTATTTTCCATTAAAAAAAAAGAGAAAAAAACTTTTTTTTTTTGTTTTGTTTCATATCAGATAAAAATAAAAAGGTTTTGAAAGTTACCCATGAAAAACCCCCACCCTGAGAAAACTGCTTAAGAATGAGTAACACACAAAAGGAAAACTAAATATGTGGTCAAAAATTATGGAAACTTCAATTTTTATCCTTTCAAATAGTACCAATAATTTCGATGCTTATCTTAAAAAAAAAAAAAGAAAACCTGTTTGGGTCGTGTTTATCTCAATTATTCATATTACCTGCAAAGTCGTATGGAAATTGAGGAAGGAGTGGGGTAGTTTTAATAATTTTTCGTATTTGTATTATTAAAATATTAATAATTTATATATTTATATTATATTTTATATAAAAATTATGTATTATAATTTATATTAATATAAAAATATAAAATAAAATATTTAAATTTTAATAAATTTATTTATAATTTTTATTAAAATTTTAAATTATATTATTTTTATATTTTTTATTTATGTTATTTTATTTTATATTATTATATTATATTTCAAATTATCAAAAACAAAAAGCTGAACTTTAGTGGCCGAAATGCTTTAAAAGGACACTAAAATGCGGCAACAGGGCTGTCAGTATGCTTTATGGTTGGTGGTCCATTTCATTAAAAATCTTTGTAAACTTCTAAAGTGATATATATAATATTTTAATTTGTACTTTAAGTTATATGTAGGACAAATACAGTGTGATTTGTTATATAATATTAAACTTTTATTTATAATTAAAATTCAATTCTAACAAATTTAAATATAATATATATATATTATGATTCATGATTATCTTTTACTTTGACGAACCATACGTTGATACGGCAGCTAAATTCATGATCTTTGGGGTTAAAGGATGCATGCATCTTTGACAAATCACTATAGTAGTATTAATTGAATTGATTATCGCTGGGCTTATTGGAAGGGACACTAGAAATATCCCCGAAAGACCCTCTTTTTCAGCCTTGAAGATGAACAACGCTCGCAATGACGACCTCATTTGACCCAAATGTTTCCATATAATTCCTTGTTTGTATTCAAATAGGAAAAACTTTAATGGTACAGGCTGAATATTAAACTGATGATTTCCCCGTAATGAAGTGTTTGTTTCTCAACCACCCACATTTCTTTATTACTCTTAACTTGTCTTTTTATCAGCCTTATTACATAGATGCATGGGATTTAAGCAATTGTATAGTCACACTACAAAAAAAAATGAAAAATTAAGGATAAATTTTTAATGACATTTTATTTATAAATACTGTTAATTTTGTATCTTTATAAAAATCATGATGTTTTTTATCAAAATATCACAAAATTTTTGAATAACGATATTTATGAATACAAATACTAATAAAAATAAAAATTAACAGTATTTATTATATAAATACCTCTATATAAAATAGTTTACAGACATTTTTCTTTTTGGTAAACGCCACTGTATTACAAAATTTAATGGCGTTTATTTTTATAAACGCCGCAAATTTTTCCAAAATTCCCCGCCTCTTCTTTTTCACGCGAACTTTACCCTTTCGCAAATCTCTCTTTTGTCTTCTCTCATTCTCAAATCTCATTCTCCTTTCTTCTTTCGAATCCCATTCTCTTCTCTTCTTTCTTTTACTTTGTTTTCCGGATCCCAATCTCCTTATATTGAGCTATTTGTTTTGTCAAACCTTGAAATCTGATGGTTCTTTTATTTTAGATCATTCTTATATTTAATTCCACAATTTACTTGTGGTCATAGATGAAATTACGTTTCTGGGTCGTCTTGACATGGCCAAAAACGCTGCCTTTTTCGATTCATGGCCTGGAATGTTCTATAAATCACATTCTTTTGGTGGAGTAGAGGTTGATGGCGTTGAAAAGTTCGGGATTGAAGTTTTGGGTGGCTTATTCAAGGGATTTTGACAAGGATCCCATCTGGGTTTTTGGTGCTGAGCTGGTTTCTTCACTATTTCTTCTTCTTCTTCTTCTTCTTTTTTTGAGGTCAAATGATAGTATGATCAAGGTCTTTTTTTGGTCTTTGCAAGGTCGTTAGGTAATATACGGTGATTTTGGAAGCTCTTGCAGCTGAGAAGGCCTTTGTAGTTGCTTTCATTTCTAACTGTGGTGCCCCCAACTTTCATTTGGAAGCTTTTGTTGGGCTTGAAAAAGCGAATATCACGATAGATTCTTATGGTGGTTGCCATAAAAATAGCGATGAAAGAGGTGAGATTTTGTTTTCATATGCTTTTGATGTTTAAACTAATTGTATACTGACATGCAAAATGATGTTAAACTGTTAAATGTTATATTTTTCTAAGTTGAGCACTTCCTATTGGTAAACTACAAGTGATCCGTGTCTATGATTTTTTTTTTTTTTTGTTTTAGTTTAAATACTTGGCTGCATTTCTGAGGTTACCAGTTCTTTATTCCTGAGGTTTTCTTTTATATTTCTTACCTGGGTAAATAAACCTGGAGTGCACTACTCTTATAATGATTATGGTGGTTTGGCTAGCTAACTGATCGTAAATGGCATTATATGAAAATTAAATAACAAGAAGATTAATACAGAAACCAAACTCAGATAAATGAACAAGCAAACTAAAACCCAAAATTATTGTGGTAGTAAAGCAGTAGCATGAAAATAAATCAAACAAAAATTTAAAACACTTGATTCAAGTAACAAGGTGCCTTCTAGGTGAATGCTGAACCCAATAGCCACCTTGTACCATCCTTATCAACCCCCAAACAGCCATGAAAAATCAAAGAAACAACAACCTAAAGCAAACATCAAAATCTGGAAGCTAGTTCTGGATAGCATTCGATTAAAATTCGGTTTCCACTCTCATTTGATAGTATTTGATCTCCAAATTTTTTGTGGAAATAACTAACTAATATGTGAACATGCATATAAATTTTCAAGAGCATTGGACATCATTTAGTACTTGAAATTTATCCAAAACCATAACAAAATAGCATCTGAAATTTCAGCTTAGAAAATAGAACAGCTCCTACTAAATCTTAGATCTAGCTAAAATTATATGAAATTTTGCTCTCAAAGTTTATAGAAGCTTAGATAACTTATAGATGAACAAGTACTAAAAAGCTTGATACAAATTGAGACCGAATTGAACTTGAAAAGTAACAAAAACCGAAACAAAATAAAATCCTAAAACAACACAACATTTAAAAAAAATTAAATTTGCTAGCTCAATTTGAACTATTTGATCAAGAGGAAGCATTGTAATTCAAGCTAACAAATAGAGGATCAACATATAAAAAGCTCATGATTTGTTGAAACTGAAATTAAATTGAAAATTAATTAAACAGTAGCTAACATCAAACCTGGAAACTCAAAAACTGTGTTGAATACAATGGAAAATGTTTGCTCAAAGGAACTAAAGTAGAGCTAAATAATAAGTAAAGGAATGTAAAAAAAACTTAAAATAAATTTAAAACAAAAAGAAAACAAAGAACAAAGACTGAACAGCCAAGAACATTGCAGCTATGGAGCTGCCAGCACTTGGAGTTCCAGCCATAAAAAAAATGCTGAGCCATGTATGAAGGGGGGTTCTTCTATAGCTGAATGAGAGTATTATTAGTTCAACTTGGAATAAATCTTCTTAACCTAAATTTGAGCAAGAAAATTTGTAACATATGGGGACTTTTTGTAGCATGCTGCCTTGGACTTTTTTAGAGGTCAATAAAGGGCAGCCTGCCGCTATAGTTGGGATTGCGGGATCTGAGAAGTCTTCTATCCTAGCTTCAGTTCTTAGTGAGATGCATAAAATATTAGGGAAGGTATGCAACCTAAGAATGAAGTTGTGTCTTTCCCCTCTTCATTATATATGCATTTTGCTCTGGTTTGTTTGATTAAAATGATTGCATTTAATGCTAGTTGGTTGTTCATGCAAATTTTTTTAGACGAAGGTTAGCTCTTATATGGGACTTGGTGAATTGTGCTTTTTTTCTCATTTGTTTAAAATTTCTTCTGGGACTCGTCTTGAAATACTAATGGACCACTTTATTTATCCTTGTGGTCTTCTGATAGTTGGATATCTCAAGTCAAGTTTCACTTGCTGATTGTTTAAGATGCAACAACATCATCATAAGAATGCAATAGAAAAATGAATGATTGTTAAATGCATTTGTTGCTACTTACATGACATGTTAAGCTGTGTGGGACAACAACATATGTAGTTCAAACATCTTGTATTCAGAATGGGACAATTCAGGAGAACATACTATTTGGTTTACCAATGAACAGGGAGAAATATAAGGAGGTTATAAGGGTTTGTTGTTTGGAGAAAGACTTGGAAATGATGGAGTTCAGTGATCAGACTGAAATTGGAGAACATGGAATTAACCTCAGTGGTGGCCAGAAGCAAGAGTACAACTAGCTAGAGTTGTTTACCAGGATTGTGACATGTACCTTCTTGATGACCTTTTTAGTGCTGTTGATGCTCATCTAGGGACAAACATATTTAAGGTGACATTTTTATCTGTTCATTACAAGTTTTGCAATTGTTGAAAAGAAATTATCCATCCTTCCAT